GCCCACGAAGGGTGCAACTGCATCTTGATGTGTGGAATTCAAACCTACAAATCTGTATTATTTGTATTTGGCTTGATCCAATTATCAGATGCTTAATAATTCAGATTGCCTTATTTAAACCAAAGTCCAAAATTAACAAATCCTCCAGTCTGACAACACATCACCCAGTTCTCATGACTTCAGGGGGATCCCAGACTGACTTAGGACACACAAGGCCAGTACTAACAGTGGATCAGAACCCTCACCCAGGAGGGTAGCACAGAGGGATACGGAGATTCAGCAAGCGAGAATCGGACTTCAGGTTCAAAGCTGTATTGTGGGAAATCTCCCAGTGACCCTCTGGGGTACAGAAAGGCATTTACTACCACAGGCTCGTAGTTCCAGGACGCTGCTTATTGGCACATTTCAGGGATGTGGCAGGGAGTTCTGTTCACTCCTGTCCGATGGAAATGAATCGCACACTCTTTGGATGGAGACATCTTTTCAGGCTACTTGGCTCAACTCCATTGTCGTGTCAGAAACCTCTCTTCCCTCAGGAGAGTGTGGGAGCCAGAGGAAGCAGGGCCCAGGAACATAATGAATTACTGAGTCGTCTTCTCCAATTTGACAATAATGAATCCAAATAAGATTTTGCTAGTGTTGGTGGACAGGATGTTCTCTAGAAGCCAATAACTTTCTAATTCCAATTAGGATCACTGTGACAGCCAAAAGGCTAAACAGAGCCACAGGGCACACCCACCACAGAGACCAAACCTCCCTCTGAGATAACGAGGCAGACGGTCAAGGACCAGGGCACTGGGCAGAGTACAGAGCTGCTGACCCTGAAATCTGCAGTGTACACTTTTAGGGTCTTAAAATTTAGAGAACAGTTGGCCATGATAATGTTTTAGGTTCTAAATATCACTAAAGCTTTGTAAGCCCCAGCGAGAAAGCGTTTGAACCAATAGTGATTAGGTTCCCTGCTTCACTAGGTGGGTCCTAGGAGGAAACAGGCCATTGAGTGAGAAACCAGCCCCTCTGAAGGAAGAACACAAGGGAAGAGTATCCAGTGAGGTGCTTATTCTGCTCTGGCGGGTGAGAGCTGGGGTGGGACTGAGCCTGATCACAGCTTGAGGCTAAAATGGTTACAGCATCCTTCCTGCCTTAGAACTCAACCTACCCTCCACCCAACCCCAACAGCTCTCGGACGGGAGCTAAGATATGGTCTCACAGAGCACTTGCTGTGAGGCACAGCACTGTAAGGTTACAGCTACCAGGAGAATGTGTGGTGCCTGAGGAAATCCTGCCATGTGAACGGGGAAAGGGGAGGGCATGCGGAGTCAGAGGTCATACTGTCACTTCGCTCAGTGCACAGACTCCTTCTTTTAAAAACTCCCTAGCCTTGCCCTGGACGGGTGGCTCCGTTGGTTGGAGCACTGTCCCATACACCAAAAGTTTTCAGGTTCAATTCCCACGCAGGAAACATACCTAGGTTGCGGGTCAATCCCTGATTGGGGCACGTATGGGAGGCAATCAATTGATGATTCTCTTTCACATTGATGTTTTGCTCGCTCTCTCATTCCCTTCCTCTTTCTCTAAAATCAATAAAAACACCCTCTGGTGAGAATAAAAAAAGCAAAACAAAACCAAAAAAATTTCCTAGCCATGATTATTGATGAATGTGTTCATCTTAAGTCATTTCCAGCAGTCAGTGACTTCTTAAATGCCAGACCAGTCTCCTCAATGAGATCTTCCTCACCACCAGTCCCTAACTAGTGCTCAGCAGGAAACCACCGTCTCCCTGGCTAAGGCCATTGGCAGGTTCTTCGTAAATGAGATGGCTCCCAACCACTGGATGCTTCAGCCCAAGTGGGAAGTAGCCCATTGGGCATTCCTCTTCAGATGTCCCCAAGGATCTCCAAGTGGAAAGCCTACAACTAAACCTTCCATCTTTCTCCTCCTACTAAAACCTCTACTCGCCATGACCTAGATTGATGAATTGCCTTCCTTTCATTGACCGCCCACCTCCTCCCCTTTCTAAACTCACCGGTGACCTAATCCTTACTGCCTGTGCCCCTAGACAGCTCTCTAATCCATGCCTTCTTTCCACGGCCTCAGTCAGGCCCTTCCCCTGCAAGGCCCTCCCCCACCCCCCCACCTGAAGTTTCCTTAGTGACACTTTTTTTTTTTTTTACAGCTATGGACACTAGTAATCCACAGACATTTGTGATTTCTTCATACTTAACCATAACTTCCTTAGATACAGAAACCTTGTCTTTTTTTTTTTTGTCCTATTTTCCTCTGTGGTAACCCTGGGATTTGCACATAATAAGTATTCAATAAATAGACTTTAGCAATAAAGAATGGATTATCTGAAAGTGACTGCACTCATTCCCCCAAAGAGCGGCTCATTAGACAATTAAATATTTCCTCTTTTCCCAGCACAATTAACAATCTTATAGATGCAAACGGACTATACACACATACACATGCATACACGATCTGCCCTTAGCTACCTTTAAGTTAATCTTCTAGCAAACACTAAGAGATCCATCTCCCAAATAAGGAAAGCATAAATTGGTTCTTATTCTTTGTTCCTGGCCCGCCTAGAGGAAAATGACACAATGCTTAGTAACAAATGAGAAATTATTTTGCAAATCCATGTCCTCAAAATGCCACCAAACGTGGGTCATGCATCTTTCCTTCCTGCATTTTGATCCCATGGCTATGACTTAGTGTGATAATTATATTACAAAGCTATTATTCGATGAAATGAAAATGACAAAATAATTTAAATGACTGTCGAAAAAGGACTTGGTTAGTATGCAATTATAAGTGAAATTACAATGGGAAAATAACTGAAATGCAGGTCTGGAAGGCACAGCTCTGAAACCATTAAGATGCTTCTTTGTGGACTCACAACATTGAGTGAAACTCGACACTCCTGGGGACCCATTTGTAATTCCCGAAAGCTGGCAACATGCATGGAGAAATCAAAAGGTCTGCGCTCCAGTTGTTCCACAGCATTATCTACACTTCTGAATGCCGCCTGGGGTGGTGACCTCCTCAGGGATGGTAGGCTATAGGACAGTCAAATAAGAACCATGTGCCATACTGTGCTTCCATCCGGCATCGTGAAGATAAAGGCACAAAGGCAAGCTCAGCTTAGATTTTCCTGAAATGTTTCCAATATAAAAGGTGGGATCATAACATGGAAAGATTATGTATTCTAAACTTAAGCCTGCAATTATTAAATATATGTGTGGATGTATTCCTAAGGATCTATCTTCTTAAAACATTCTGCTGATATATTCCTTTAACAAAATCTTGATAATTATGTCGATGCCCAGGCTTACAGTGGGTATACTTCCTCTCCAAAGGGAAAAAAATAAAGTGATAGATTTGAAACAGATATGCTGGAATATCAATTTAACAAATGACTAAGGATCCTCCTTTGAACCATGTTATGCATTTTGGTGGTTGAACATCCAAATGTGTCTACTACTGGCAAAAATTATGCAAAATATGCCGCCCTCTCACATCTTCCACCTCATAGTCCTCTTTCATGGTCCCATCTCTTTCAAAGAAGCCAATGCTAGAAACTAACAAGCGTGAAAGGAGTAAGATATAAATCCTTTCATTCATGACTATCCCTCTTGTGTTGTCACAGAGTAGGTTAGGAAACGGTCTTTGTTTTTCACACAGAAAATTTCTCAGCATCCATGATTATAACATTACTTAATAGAGTGGCAAGGTTTCCACAAAAGGAGTTGTATATTTTTGTTTCTCAAACTTTAGTTGAAAAAGTCCCTTGGAAATAGAGATAATAGGTACTCTTACTCTCTTTCACAGACTCTGAAACTCGTAAAGATTGAATACGCACATAAGCATGTTCCCTGTGGCATGCTTAGCAAAATGTACAAGTGTTTGAAATAGACTCTTAAGTTGTTGGGGATATTCCACTGTGTGCACATTTCTCAAACTTCTTACATTCACTGCCCAATGGAAATAAGTGAAAGTATTAACCACAGCTTTTAACAATATGAACCTTGAGTCCATGGCAACTGTATAATAAAATTCAAATCTGCTATCTAGGTTTTTTTTTATAGGAAGGTCATATTATTTTTAACACATATCACTGAAATAATAATATGATTTGAAATAGATTTTTAAATCCTATGAGAAAAATGAAGTTTTTCCAGTTTAGGCACAAAGGTATGAACTTTGAAAAAGATAGAAAAAGTAATGTAGAAAAAAATCTATGAATAAGACTAGTTGAAAAAATGAACACGAAAACATACACATAAATTACAGAAAAAATAAAAATTAGTAGGGTCCTGAAGTATTTTAACCAAACTTTTTGGAATTTGAAATCACATTTGTCAGAATTTTGTATAATTAACCTCTGTATTTAGGAAAATGTCAAGTAAGTTTCATATAACAGCTTACCTTTTGAAGTTGATAAAGGATAAACCAATGTTACATTTATAATAGTATAAGTTAAAATAGTGTAACTTACTTTGAAATGCATGAAAATATAAGTTGGGTTGATGGATGGACAGATAGGTGATAAAGAAAATATAGTAGCCCTAGCTGGTTTGGCTCAGTGGATAGAGCGTTGGCCTGTGGACTGAAGGGTCCCAGGTTCGATTCCAGTCAAGGGCTCATGCCCTGGTTGCAGGCTCGATCCCCAGTGAGGAGTGTGCAGGAGGCAGCCAATGGGTGATTCTCTTCACTGATGTTTCTATCTTTCTCTCCCTCTCCCTTCCTCTCAGAAATCAATAAAAATATACTTAAAAAAGAAAATATAGTAAATGTTAACAATAGAATCTAAGTGGTGGATATATATATCAGCATCATTGACAATTCTTTTGATTTCTTTGTATGTTTAAAATATTTCATAATAAAGTGTTGGGGGAAAAAATACAGTGCTCTAGACGAATTGTATTTATTCTATTTGTTAACTATGATCAACAAATAAACCCCTTTCAAAACTTGTCCCTCTGACCTGATGCACTCACCTAGCCACCCGGATCCGGAATTTGGTATGCACAAGTCCGTTTCGGCGCTGGGCAACACAAAGCCAACAACAAACACCTCCACACCGTCCGCCATGAGGGCCAGGCCCAGGACAAAGAAAAGGGTCCACTGAAAACGGCCATGACCACACTCTTGGATTATCAGCTCATACTGCTGAGCTAGTTCTTCCTCATCAGCTTTCCTCTCTGACTCCAGCTCCTGCCGGTCCTTGTACTCATCACCCTTGGGCTGCCCCATTGACACGATGCTGTCTTTCCCTTGGTTCGTACTGGGAATGCCCTGATACTCCCCTTCGTAGATTTCATCATCTTCATCGTGACCCTCAGTAGCTTCACTGGAGCCTTCATCGTCATTGGCCTCCCCACCGTAGGTTTCTCCAGGTGGGTAATAGTCATCGTCTTCTTCTTCGTCCTGGAACCGATTGTAGGACCTCTGGGTGTATTCATCCTGGGCCCGGTCCACTGCTTGATTCACCTTCTTTACTGTTTGTTTCTTCACCACTTTGGCAATGTCCTTGGCACCCTTCACCAGTGAAGTCCTATCCTTGTAAGAGTCTTCCATTGTGTCTCAACTGATAGCCAATGAGAAGATGGGAATTTTTTATAGACTTTGGTCAGTGGTTCAGCCCCAACAGCATCATCCACTTTGGGTTCAAAACAGAACTGCAAAAAAAGAAAAACCACAGGAGATATTTATTATTCCTTTCTACGTCTTTTTCACCATCTATTTCTTGCTGTCTTTTCACTGCCCCCTCAGGCTAAAACACATTCTTTGCCTTTCCTTTCTTTGATATCACTGTACACATGCACAGTGGATGCTGGTTCTCTGCACTTGGAGCATTTAGGGTTTTTATTATTATTGTTGTTTTGTTTTAAGGAACTCTGACCACGAGGTAACTTTGCATAGAATGCAAATAGGACATCTGTCACATTTAAATATATATCCAGCACCCAGTCGGTGTGGCTCAGCCATTGAGCATCGACCCAGGAACCAAGAGGTCACTGGTTTGGTTCCCAGTCAGGGCACATGCCCAGGTTGTCGGCTCGATCTCCAGTGGGGGGCATGCAGGAGGCAGCTGATAAATGATGTTCCTCTCTTATTGATGTTTCTATCTCTCTATTTCTCTCTCTTCCTCTCTCTCAAAATCAATAAAACATTAAAAAAATTGTATATGACACATATTGAAAACAGTACAAAGATATATCCTGATTGAGAAAAATAATATTGCTCACACACATCTACACACACTACAAAAGCAAAACCAGAATATGAGAACAATCCTATCTGACCTTAATTCCTCACATAAAAAACAAAGCAAAACAAAAAAAAAAACACACAAAAAAAGCAGGCAAGCAGCCCTATATACAGTGCTATTAAGTCATATATATATTTGTAAAATGTATTTTCCCTCTACTTTCATTGCGTTTCCTTCCTATAAACATATCAGAGATTCACAGGGCACCCTAAACATACAATGAGCATTTTCCCCTCGTATAGCAGCCATGTCCTTAGGAAACGGGCAGAGTTCATCAAGTGATTTTGCAGATGCCTTTGGTAATCAATGAGTCAGAACATCTGTTTGTGTAGTGGGAGGTCTGCCCTTTCAGAAACCACCCCAAGACAGCCAGGGGAGGTAAGCCACATGCAATGTCCCTGCACATCCCCACCCTGTACTCTGTCTCTACTTTCTTCATCTCTGGACACCCTGGCCCCACTCCCACACACATACCCTCCCTCTCATCTTGTCCTGCTGCCACTCCAGTTAACTGCTGTCTAGGAAACCAGGGTCAGTGGTCTGCCCTGCCCATCACTTGGTTTTCTTTCTCAATGACAGCCTCCTAGGTCTTGGCTCATTACATTTTTTTGACAATGTAGTTTATTTTTTATTTTTATTTAATGCTCACCCAAGGATATTTTTCCATTGATTTTTAGAGCGAGTGGAAGAGAGAGGGAAAGACAGAGAGAAATATCAATGTGTTTCTCACATCAATCGGTTGCCTCTTGCACGAGCCCCAACCAGGGCCAGGACTGAGGAGAAGCCTGCAACCAAGGTACGTGCCCTTGACTATAATCAAACCCGGGACCCTTCAATCCCCAGGCTGATGCTCTATCCACTGAGCCAAACCGGCTAGGGCTTGGCTCATTACATTTGAACTGACCTCTTGGTAACCAATCTTTCACTTGTCCACTGAGCTATCTCCTTTGGTGGCCCAAGTGAGCCAATGTCAGGCCCACCCTTGTACACAGATGATATAAAGGTGAAAATGTTATTCTGTTCCATTTTTTTGTTGTTGTTGCTGTCAATCCTCACCCAAGGATATTTTTCCCACTGATTTTTAGACAGAGTGGGGAGGTGGGAAGGGGGGAAAGACAGAGAGAAACACAGATGTGAGAGACACATTGATTGGTTGCCTCCTGCAGATGCCCCTGCACCGAGGTTTGTGCCCTTGACCGGAATAGAACTTGAGACCACTCAGTCAGAGGGCAACACTGAGCCAAACCAGTTAAGGGCTGCCCCATCATTAACCCCCAAGCCCTGTGCTGTGGCAGCATTCCAAACATCGATTTATATAATGGCCATTTCTGCTTCTTCCTTTTGTATAAAATACTTGGTAAGTGGCTATTACAAACATACATTTAAACTGCTCATTCAGACATCACTAACAAACCCAACAATAAAGACAAAAAGATGTTTGTTTATAAATGGACTGCGCTTCATTACCGCCGAATCCCTACACATGCCCTGTAACAGGCAAGACAGAGGCGTGGCTCTGCACAGACCTGTGTTTTGGAAGACAACAGAATGAAATGAAAGTAAACATGCGATTACAAGGCTTTCTGCCCAGTGTCTTAAAGGATTTTTCTTTGTTCTCTTCCTTCTTTCTCTTTGGACAGCCGAGAGGCAGAGGAAGGGAGAGATGCAAAGACCGTGAGGAGAGTCAGAAAAAAAGGAAAGGCAGTGAGAAGAGGGTGAGGATGGGGTGCTCAGGAACTCAAGGAGGCATGAAAAAGAAAAGGGAGAACAATGAGGAACAATGCTGGAGAAGGAGAGACATTTCCTACTTTAAAAACTGGAAGCAAAATTAAAACATTTCACACAGTAAATGAAGCCAATGGCTGTACTGTCCATAAATGGACAATCATGTCAGGTGTCGCACAGCAGCTGCTTCCTGTGCACAAGAGCACCATGGACACTGCGGAGCGAGATCTGAAGCCTGGCCAGTGTGAGAGCAGGGCCTGGGCAGCCTTAAGGCGCCCCACCCCCACCCCCACCCCAGCCCCACCCCAGTGGCAGTGCCTGCTAGGAAAGCTTCTGCAATTGCTTCTTCTAATCAATAGTAAATAAACTCACTGCATTGGCTTTCCTGCTTTTGCTCTGTCACAAATATTCTAACCTCATGCTTAAAGGGGTTCTCACCCCTTCCCCCGAAAGGCCCCTGTGAGGGGGCCACCTCTAGACAGAAAGCAGGCATGGTGTCTCCAATGGCATAATTATGACAGAAAAGTAGATAATTCTAACCCCTAACTGATCTAATCATGTGAGCAATGAAAAAAGAAAAAGAAAAATTATGATTCAACTTTTCAGTTTTGAAAAACACTTCTTGTGAAAGTCTTGATCTGGCCCCAAATAGGGAATGTGTGTATAAGCTCTTTCTGTGATTCGAGGTTCCTCATGCCCCAAACACAGGCTCTGTCAGGGGTGAGTGGGGAACAGCCTGCCCACAGGCCACAGAAGGCCCACGAAATCATTTGGCCTGGCCCTGCCAAGGCATTAGGGGTGAGTTAATTAAGTGTTTGACTGAATATAGTAGGCTAATTTTTAAATTGATAATTTTGTGTGGGCCGCTAATCTATAATAATAAAAGCATAACATGCAAATCGACCGAACAGTCTGTCCGGACAACCTTCCGGACAAAGCCAGGGCTGCAGCTGTGGGGTTGAGGCAGCCACCGCAGCTGCGAGGGAGGGATGGAGGCAGCCGCCGTGGCTGCAAAGGCCTACTCTTGCACGAATTTCGTGCATCAGGCCTCTAGTGATGTAATATTCAAATGGCCCTTGGCAGAAAAAGGTTTCCCACCCCTGCCTGCTGATTCTCAGATCTTGATGGAAGAGACTGGGTCTTGTAGTTTGTAGTCTCATTAAAGCAAAGAAGAGTTTTCCATACTTCTGTATAAATAAGGGCAGGTATGAATACTTATTTTAAAATTCTGTGTAAAATCAGATGTTTATAGATGTTGCCATTGGAGAAAACTGGGTGAAAGATATAGGGGATCTCTGTGTATTATTTGTTACAACTGCATGTGAATCTACAATGATACCCAAAAAAATGTGAAACAAGAAAAGAAGTTTGCACCAGCTTTATTAAGCAATCTCGGAAAATGTGCAAACTGCTTTGCTAGTGGGCAGACAAGTTTGGGGGAGGAGTTGTATTTTATGGCTATGCCTTTCTCTGGTAACTGGAAAAATGAAAAAAAGCTGGGCTCATCTCAGAGAGCATTAGGAACATAGCAGATTGTTATCTGAGTTTAAATTTCTGGCAAATGAGAGAAAAATGGTGTTTTCTCATTGTAAGTTCCATTTGATTACTAGTGAAACTGAACATCTCTTTCCTTGTAAAATCTTTTATCTTTTGCCCGTTTTGTATTGAGGTTTATAGTTGGTTTAACGCTGGCCTCCAGAAAGATACATCTATGTCTCCTAACCTCCAGAACCTATGAATGTGACCTTATTTGGAAAGAGGTGTAATTAAGTGGAAGACCTCAAGATGAGGTCATTGTGGATTATCTGGGTAGACCCTAAATCCAATGGCAAGTGTCTTTATAAAAGAGAGGAGAGAGAAGACACAGACACAGAAGGGTAGGCCATGAAGATGGAGGCAGAGACATTAGAGTTATCCTACATAATAAAAGCCTAGGTGGCATCACGCCCTTGCATGATGGCGTCACAAGACAGCCGCCACAAGATGGCCACACGCACAGTGGAGGTGGGGCCTGGTGGCCGCTCCACGTAGTGAGGCCTGGGGGTCCCACGGCTCTGCGCGGTGGGAAGGAGGCCAGTCTTGGTGTCTGCTGCCTCACGTGGAGGAGGCAGGTCGCAGCAGGGGAGGGCAATTGTGGGCAATCAGGCCGGCAGGGGAGGGCAGTTTGGGGCCATCAGGCCAGCAGGGGAGGGCAGTTGGGGGCGATCAGGCCAGCAGGGGAGCAGTTAGGGGTGATCAGGCCAGCAGGGGAGCGGTTAGGAGCCAGTGGTCCCAGATTGTGAGAGGGATGTCCAACTGCCAGTTTAGGCCTGATCCCCCGAGGGGTCCCAGATTGGAGAGGGTGCAGGCTGGGCTGAGGGACACCCCCCCACACATGCACGAATTTCGTGCCCCGGGCCTCTAGTATAGTCATAAGCCAAGGAGTACCTAGGGAAAATAAAATAAAGGGGGGAAGTAAATTTAAAAAAAGAAGAAGCAACTTTGCAGAAGAACTGACAAGAGACTTGGGGTGTCTTCAGTGGAGCACGAAAGAGTGCAGTGCTCTTGGATTCCAGTCGCTAAGGGGAAATCAGATGCCTGAGGAGCATCGAAGCAATCTGCATCATTAAGCATCATCAGTAACAAAACTGCCCTTCACAATTCCTACTCTTAAGTAACAGCAAAATACTCTCTTCTATGAAA